TCTTATTACTGACTGATTTAAATAAGGACTTAAAATGTTCTGTCAGTACTGAGAGTGTGTCAAGGTTCCAGCAAGTCTTAATTCACAGAAGTTCAAGCTCTCCTTGCTTATGGAAACTGACTGGTGAAAAAGGAAATGGTATTCTTCAGTAAAAGCATGTGGAAAACAATTTACTGTTTTCACTTGCAAATGCTAACAATCCAGGCTACATGTTCATTTTTCTGCTGAGGTTAGGTATTAGGAAACAAAACTCTGATGAGGTTCCTCTAACTTCCATTTCATCACATCAGAGATGAAGTTGGCCCATAGCTCTCTGTCATTTGCTTACTGGATCTAAAAGAATATAATCTGCATGTAATAGTGACTCAGAGCACCAGCTCCCGCAGGGAATGTCCCTGTGTGATTTCAAATTCAGTACGTCAGAAGTAGTATACAGTATGTACTCCTCTCAACTCTACGTTTAAACTAATTTAATTAAAAAACCCTAGAAATAGGTTGGCTCTTACACAGTGTGAACTGAATACCCTTAGTGTAAATGCTTTTTGTAATTTAAAAACCAAACCCCGGCCCCATAGTGTCCCGTATTGGGTCACTGCAAACCAAGGTACTGCTGGATTATGACTCCAAATAATAACTGAAATTTTGGGAAGGAACAAAGTCATAAAACTCTTCTGGACTAAATGTATTCCCAGCCACATAAACAAGGAAATGGATTTTATAATTAATTCAGAGTTCCCTGGCAAGCACAGTGTTGTAATGTGTTGTAATCTACTGATTAAGTTCCAGTAAGAACACTGGCAATGGCTTTTTTTTATCAATATCAGTCTTTTAACGGCACCCAAAAGAACCTGAATCTCAGAATAACCATGGGCAGACTGTGCTCATCTGAGCAACTCTTGGGTGAGTTTGTAGGAACAGGGTTTGTGTTATCCTTGGGTCCTGTTTGTTTCTGCTTCCTGTGTCCTCGAGCATTCTGTTTTGGAAACATGGTACTTTATAGAAAATTGCCTTCGAGAAGTTCAGGCTGAACGGGTATTTGAAACCTTCCAGCAAAGCTTTTAGTCCACTAGGATTCTACTTCACAGAATGCTTTGCCATCCATCAGGCCATTGGTCACGGCTGTTAATTAAATGAAAATGCAAAATAAATCTACAGTGCAGAGATACAACACAGCCAATTAAATATTCCAGTACAAGGTGCTAACGATAAAAAGCAAATGTCACCGAGGACAACCTGTGTGATGTCAGAATACAAATCCTACCAGATGACAAAATGTATGACTCCAATCACAGGTTGGGAGGAAGAAACCCAGTGACCCTGACCACTGAAATGCAGCAGAGATGGTGGTGAGGCCATTTGGGATTATGAGTACAGGCTTGGGAACTTCTGTGGCAGAGAGTGAAGGCAAGTTAAAGTTGGAACCCTAAGACTACATGCTCCTTATTTTCTTGACTCTTGACATGTGAAAGTCTGACCGTTTCTGAGTTCTTTGCCATATAAGCATATTTTTTAAAATGTGGTTGTTTAAGTATAAAAGAACAATACTAAAGAAAGCAAACAATAGCCGTGTTTGAAGTGACTGAGAGACTGTCAGCCCTGTAGCTTTGTGAAGAGGTTTCATGGCCACGCTGTGTCGAGGGACGACCTCTTTAAGTGGCTCTTCTTGGCAAGGTTAAACCAAATGAATGGCAATAACTCAGCAGTTACAGCTAACTACAGCAGCTCATAGACAGGCATTATAATTTCATTAAAGTTCTGGCAATCAGGGGCAATCTAAAGAGTATAAATGCACTGAGATGAGCAATCTTAAGTTCCATGAAATCAAAGAAAATATTTAACAAAGTTATTGCAAGAAACAATTTAATGAGCTGTCTTGAGACAAACAAATTAATGAATATTTAGAACATTGTATATGTAAACAGATCCACCTTTTCTACCTATTAGAAAGGTTAATCTTTTTTTCTTGAGAAACACAGCCTGAAAAAATTTATACTTGAAAGAAAAACACGACTGTCTTAAGTTACATATTGCAATAGCTCATGAAACTTTTGTAACATCCAAACCTTTCCTACCATGAATGTTTCAGGTGCATTCTTTATTTGCCTCAATACGCATTTTAGCTTGGATTACTAGTTGGGAGTTTCTTTGTTATTTTTAGCTTTTGATTGTTTGTTTTGCTCTTTTTAGAAGTTAGGTGCTTACATGAGGGCTGTATGAAGGGCTTCCTGTTCTTAAAACAGGGAAAATGAAGCAGCGTTGAATTTTAGAATATTGCAGAATGCTGGCCTTTGAAATTTTCATGGATTTTCAGTACTTGGAAATGTATCTCTCTTTTCACTGTGTTAGTAAATGCAGAAAACACAACCCTACCAAGATCAGCCAAACTAAATATTAAATAATGCCATCCTTTAAAGCAGTTTCACGTTCCTTAGATTATAATGAAAGTGTAATCTCTTGACATGCAGCATGTTAAAACATACTTAGCAAAACTCTAATCTATTATGGGCCCTTCTCCCCTTCCTTCAAATGAGTCCAAACACTCCTTACAGATATGTATATAGGCATATATTGTAGAAGGAAGAATGGTTTGGGTTGGAAGGGACCCTAAAGTCATCTAGTTCCAATACCATATGTACATATATATATATGTATCTCTGTATAAATAAATGTGTGTATAGGCCACTTAGGTCTTCAAAGCAAGGACATACTGGATGTAGACTGAATCAGTGTCAAACTGCACTGCTAATACAGTAGTGTCAGGCTTTAGGCAGCGTTATTACCACATTTATGTTCAGGCTCAGCTATTACTATCACATCAGGATAGAGAGATTAGTCCTGTACTTCATTTTCCCAACCTTATATCCCTTCCTAGACCTGCATAACTTTCCTGAGCAGAAGAAATCAGGGCAAATCTTGTTGCCCTCCACAAGCTGGTATTCCCTTCCTCCAGCAATATTTTGGATGAGAGGAGGGCTATTGTGATATCGAAGTCCCTGGAGGGAAGAAGCAAGGAGAAATGTTTGAACCATGGAGGAGGGAAGCAGAGGGAAAAACAGCAGAAAAGTTCTGGAAAGGGACCCCAACCTTGGGGACAGACCAGAGCAAAAGTGATGCTATGAATTAATCGATGTCACACATCACTGCTGTGAGAGGGAGTTAAAGACTTAATGTGCTCAAACAACAACTTTGTGCTGTTTCTGCACAAGTGAAGATGGGTTAGGACCACGTGGAGGATTAATAGTCAAAGGTGGGATTGTAGCAAAGTGGGTGGAAATTATCAGCTCCCGCCACCCACAAAACATATGGCAAAGGGATAAATGGGTAGATTTTTTTCCCATAATTAGTTGGGAACAATATGCTTAAATGATACTCAGAGCACTCCAATGAGATGTTCACATGATGGCTTGGGGAACCTGGGGAAGGTAGATACATCCTCCTTCACGGAGCGAAAGGAAAACTTTACATGTCTGGATTCCAATGTCTCAGCAAGTGACAATGAGGGTGCAGTTATTTTATATCACCATTATTTCTTACTTTTCAGTGCAAAAACCGACCCAGAGGCAAAGCTACTCATGGGTTTTGTGCAGATGAAGAATGGTAGAATATCTCACTTGGTATTGCCTCTTTGGTGATAGTTTTTAGACTGTTGGTTGATCTGTGGCTGGTGGCAACTGATTGATATTCATATGCACATTTTCTTTCTAGTTTTGAAACCTTTTTTTTTTTTTTTATTTTAGATAATGTTCCCTTGAGTCTAACATAACATGCATAGGACTGCTTTGTCAGCAGAGTGAGTTCTGCCTTTCCCTCCCATATCTGAGAGCTGTACACTTTTGGTGGCCATGAAAGAGTTAAATTTCAGAGCACTGAAGGATGCTGGACTGTGATAATTGATCATGGACTGTAATAATTATTGATACCTACCAGGAGAAGAATGTGCCCAGAACATGATTATTCCAGTAGATGGGAATGCCACAGGATAAACTGTGCTGTGTCCTGTCACTCCTGCCATGGACATTTAGATGTAGATCCTCAGTGGGACACAGAGGCATAAACAGCCCAGTGTGGCTGGGACTGACCTTAGCTCTGCTGGGATGTGCTCTCAGGTGAGGGTGTAAAAGCTTATCAAATTATCGGGCACCTGCAGACCCTGCCTGGGGCTGTATGCTTGGAAACATGAGTGGGTGTGCTGTGCTTGCTTAGTGTCAGTATTTTAAGCCAAGGTGGATGTTAACAGAGCAAAATACAGATTTTAAACACAATGTGAAGGGAAGTCTCTCTTAAAATAACAGGAGATGTTAATGAGCTCTCTACAAGAGGCTTTAACTCAGGATGTTTTAGTGTGTGATTGTGGCTGTTCTTAAAAATGAATAGACCTTTCATCATTCAAAGGACTATTCTCCTTTCCCTTCTGATCTGGCCTTCCTTTCTCCCCACACTCCCTTAGTTTAGAGAACTTTCATTCTCTACTGTGATCCTAGAAAGCATGAAGGCTGGGGTCAGGGAATACTTTTTTCCTCAGTTAAAAATAGAAAGTAAGCAGTGAAAAATAAGTAAAATATTCCGAGAAGCAACAAGGGGAAACAAAAAGATTCCCTTATATCCTATGTGCAGACAGTGACGCTCTAAGCAACATCACGGTTTCTTACTAAATTATACTCGTGTGACACACTGGAGTATAATTTCCATCTATCTACGTTAACTACGTACACAAAAGTTATATAATTCAGGTATAATTTAGCAGGAGGCAGCGGCCCACCCGCAGGCAGGTGCGAGCAGCGTCTCCATCCCGCAGTTGGCATCGCGGTGTATCCCTGTGTGCAGGGGGGTGCGTGTTCTTCGTGCTTCCGGCAGCCACCGGAGGGGCTCCCCCGCCCCGCTGTCGGGCCGAGCCGCTGCGGGAGGGTCCCCCCCGGAGGCAGGTCCGCCCGGGGCGGTGCGGGGCCGGGTGCGGGGCGGTGCGGGGCCGGGGGCTGCCCGCGCTGTTCGCCGCGCCGCCGCTGGGGGTATCTTTGTACCATTTTTCATCCAGCAGCAATTTGGAGTGGAAACGTGTAATAGGGGGAAAAAGCAAGGGATCTCGGCGGTTCGAGCGAGCCGTGCATCCAGGAGCCAAAAAAGATTAACACCACCACCCCCCCACCCCTTTCCCCCCCGCGCAAGCCCCCTCCGCACCTCCCCGCGCCCCTCGGGGCTCCGTCGCGGCTCCGCGATCACCCGCCGGACACCGAGCGAAAAGGGATTCGTCTGGAGGGCAATTTCGGATCGGGGGAGATCTATTGGATTAGTGGGATTATCTGCCTGCAGACGGAGAGAAGTAGCGTTTGATCATTTCCATTGCCTGCCTGATGGTCGGATTTACATGGAGGTGGCTCGGCACGGATGAGGCTGGATTCCGGATGGGGATTTCCAGCCCCCCCTCCCCGCGCCCCGATCCCGGGAAAGGGGAGAAAAATATATAAAAATCGGTATAATTGGGAAGTGTCCGGGGCACTATCGGGAGCCCTCCCGCTCCCAGCGGCTGGCAGAGCCGAAGGAGGCGAATCCAGCGGATTACAGCTTCAGCTGCGATTGCGGGAAAGCGGCCGTGAACTGGTAAATACTTTGATGCTCCCGGCGTGCGGGGCGAGCCCGCGCCGGGATGGAGAGGAGGGAGGGGGGCGGCCGGGCCGGGATGCAGAAGGGCGGCCGGGATGGAGCGGAGAGGAGAGGAGGGGCGGCCGGGATGGAGGGGGGCGGCCGGGCCGGGCTCGGGGGCCCCGGGCAGGGCAGGGCGGCTGCGGGGCTGAGCCCGGGGGGCGCTTTGCAGGGCCGGCTTTCCGAGCCGTGCGTGTCCGCGGGCAGGGCGATGCGGGTGCGGGGCTGCGCGGGGGCTGCGCGGCTGCGGCGATCCCCGAGCGGTGCCTCCGCGGGGGGATGCGCGGCGGCAGGAACCGCTGCGGGGGAGGGAGTGCGGGGGGTGTTTGCGGGGAGATTCGCGCACACACACACGCACATACACACACACACACACACCCGCTCCCGCCGCCGCCGCCCCAGCGAACTTTTCCTCCCCGCCGCCCGGGGCCGCCGCCCGCCGCGGGCCGGGCGCGGAGCTCCGCGGACGCCCCGCAGCCCCCGGTGCCTCCCGCAGCTGCCGGGCCTGGCGAGAATTTTTTTAAATTATTATTATTATTATTTTATTTCTCCAGACATCATCTTTCTCGGCTTGGGTGCTGAGGGCTGGTTCTTCTGCTCCCCCGCCCCGCTCCTTCCCTGCACGCCCCCCTTCATCCTCCCTTCCTGACGATCGCACTAGAGCATCGTCTTTACTTGCTAAAGGAAAATCAATTTTCAACAGGTTTAATTAAAATTAATCAGTCAAATTACTTAATATTAATTGACTTATAATTAAAGCCAGAAAGTTACCTTGGAATCGGGGGAAAGGATGTTATCTGGAATCATTTTAAGGATGCATATGGTTTCAGAGCAATTACATTCAAATAATTGTTTAAATAAAACAAACCAGAGCTTGATTAAAGTGTTGTGTTCTTGCTGCTGCAGGTGACAAAATCTGGAGTGGCTATTTCCTTTTGTAAATTTGCTGACCTTTTGAAGGAATATCATTTTAGTTTGACACTGGGTTTGCTTTCTGGAAGGCCAGTTTGTTTTAGCTCTAACAACTATGGCATAAAAAATCCACTAGTATAAAATGGAAATATGTCTTATAGAAGCTATAAATATCAAAGTGAATGTTTTTAGCACCTTTAGATGTTCTGTGAATTTGAAATGAAGCAGATTTTTTTTTTCCCCCCAGCATAAGTGTAAGAAATTGTCTTAGGAAATATTTTTTTTTTTCAGCATTGCCATCCACTGTAGTAATATTTGCATTTATCCAGTACCTTAGTGGGACCAGACCATACTGGTAAATTCACAGAGATAACTCACATCTGAAACCATGTATTCGTGGCAACACTCACAATAACCTTTTCATGCTCCCTTAAGACCAAGGTTGGGTTTTTTTGCTTGTTTTTTACAGTAGCAGCATTTTTGGTGCATCTACAGACTATTGTTATTGGTGAAAGAGCAACACTGTGAGCTTTGGGACATTTTCTCCTACTTTTTTTTCTGTGCTGGCTTGGTTGAAGCAAAGGATACTTATGAAATTGCACGTACTTTATTACAAGCACCTCACAAGTGAAAGACCCATGTATGGTATAAATGAGCATTTAAAAATAGAGCCCATTATTCAGGGCCCTGATTTTCAAAGATACTGATTCCCATTGACTGCACTGAGACTTGTGTGGGCTCAACAGCTGTAACACACAGCCCACTTTTGCATCTTTGAAATGAGATTTGCAGACTGGGAGCCAAAAGCTAAGTAGCCATGTTTGGAAATACTGGTTGGGTGGGTTTATTTCTTTTTTCTGCGCCCCCCCCCCCCCCGTATTTCTGGTGCAGGATGCAGGGTTAAAGAAGACTGTTTCTTAGTTACTTTTGATAAATGACACCGTTTTTCTTAGGCTACAGCTACAGATTGCAGTGATGTTGCAAAAGCAGTTTTGCAGTAAATGATTAGGAGATCCTTAGATACATACGAAGAGACCCCATTTATTTTGTACGTTTCATGTGAATCATATGCAGGCTGTGGGAAGAAAAATGAGGCTGAGGATAATCATACTAAGTGTGCTGGGAAGCAGGACTTGGCTGAACACCTCTGTTTTGTGATTAAGTGAAGTAGCAACGAAAGCCATGAGTGTTCAAGGCTGTTTAAGGCAGTAAGTTGTGTAGATGCGAGGAGAGCTGTTGTCCTGACAGTGCTTTGGTTATCTTACCCCTTCTCCTACAGTAGGGTAAGGAGATAATATCCTAGCTGTTGATACTTAAACATCCTTAACAAAGTGGGTTTGCTCTGGATTATTTGTCTGGAGGTGGAGCAGTCTGCTGAGGAGGGTTATTTAAAGACTGGGACAGGGCTGTAGGCAGATAAATTGATTTGCAAGTGAATGGAGGATTTGAACATGGTAATGGTGGTGGTTTTATTTTTTATCAGTTTGCATTTTTAATATCCACTGGCATTCACACAAGCGTAAACCACTCTAATTGTTCAAATGGAGTCTGGGGAAAAGAGAAGAAAGCAGAGGCTTAGATGTGGTCTCTGTTCGTAATGGATTGGCTTGCCTTTCTTTATTAAAAGCAAATATACATTCCTTTCTAATAGAGATGTAGAGCTGTATTACAGATCCTTGGCTAGCTCTGAATTATTTGTTTGATGTCATATTTATTATGGTTTTTTAATCATATGAAAAGAAACTATTTAAAAATTAAATAGGGAAAAAAAGAAGGGCAAAAAGAGACAGACGTTCTTTGAAAGCAAATAATGAAAAGACAGCATTTTGCCAGAGACTCAGTAGAAACCTTTGTGGATTTCTTTTAATAAGGGACGGGCAGTTATCAATCTGATCCAGTAAATAATATAATTTCTGATTAGTCTCAGACATCCATCATGGTAAGTATAAAAAGGTAATGGTAAAAAGTAGATCCAGACTGATGAATAAAGGCTGTTCTATAAACATATTTTCATTACTATAGCCCTGATTCTGAGCTCTGCATTAGGAAGGCATGTAAGCACTCAGAGGGGGATGCCTGCCCTGCTGCCCAGTTGTTGCACAAGAGTTTGTACGGGAGGGAGGAACAGAAGGAGGGAGGGAATTGGGGGATGCAAAAAAAAAAGAAACTGATGGGAAAACTTCATCATGTGTTTCATATCGAGGGCACATCCTGTAGTTTTAAATGGGAATGATGACCTTACATTCCCCTGAATGACTATTGAATTATCACAGTTACAAGGGGAAATCTTGTTGGCTTCTTGGTGACTCAGCTCCAGGTTTCCATCTGCCTCTGAAGAGCCTACATGTTTTCCAACAGGCTGTTTTCATAACTGTGGCTAGTTGGCTATTTAGTACCATGTTCAAATTTGCCTGTGCACCCACTCTATCATGCCACTTTTCTCTAGAAAACTAAAGGTGGTGTGAAGGACCACCAGCGATGTGAAACCATGGGGCACAATGTCTCTACTGTAAATGTCCTCCCGGTTATCAGGCGATGTAAAGGTCCAGGCTGCAAATAAAAGATGAGACCATTAAAAGAAAAGCAGTTGAAGTTCTCTTTACCCCATTTGTTGAATTATTCTGTTTTGTTCTCATAATATTTTCTGCACAATCAGTTTTAGTGCTGCCTTTGGGTAGCCTCTTACCTTCTGATGATGCTTGGTTAGGTCTTTTGCACCATATCAAGGGAGAATGTAATGTTTGGAAATTAGCAACATGTGACTGTGAAATCATAAAAACAGTCAAGGACACTTTACAAATATTGTACTTCAAGTGACTCATATTCCTTTAACCAAGCAAAGAACTTAAATGACAATTTAAAATTTTGTTTTCTAAATCTCCTTAATCACATCCTGCCTAGAGATGCCATTAGCCCACTTGTTGAACTGGTTCTGGGAATTTAATGAGGGGAATACATTTCTGTTGTATTTTATAACTTTATTTAATTCCATCTTGTCGGAAGCTTTTAAGTTCAACATTTGAACTTAAAATCATTCTTTAACTTGAGCCTTCCCAACCCCGTCCCCCAGTTTCCAAAAAAGTACTTGAAAGCAGCAAAGTGTTGTGTAGGCACATAGTGTTAGAAATATTCATGAGGAGAAAATGACAATTTAGTTAGGAGAAGCCTTACAGATAGACTGAATATTTTGACATCCTCAAACCTGTGTAAAATAGGCATTGTGGGATGGAGCTTTTGTTTCTTCAACTGGTTTCCCAGTGATGGGGTTTTTGTGGAGAATTGGGGGCCTGATATAGCCACCATGAGACCCCATTGCTGGGTTAGGAAACCCTCTGGTCACTGGAATTGTGATCAGCATGACCAGGACATGACCACAGGGAGACCCGAGAGTGGTTGCTATAACAAATAAGTCTCTTTCTCACAGATAGTGGTAGAAAATGAAAAGAGGACAAGGAGCTGAATAATAGGAGCTACACATGAAGTCAGATGGAAAGAGTAAATCTTTGTAGACATTTAATGGTGTTATATTCTAAGCTTTTGGGAAATTTTATTTGAAATTTTTTTACAACAGTAAATATAGTCTGTGCTATATCCTATTTCTATTTCATGTGAGAGAAAAATTCCCCATCTATGGCACAACACTTTACTGCTACCATTACTGCAGACTTTATAGATCAAAGATGTGTCAGCATGTTAGCTTTAGCTGTAATGCTTTTTTTGTGTGAAACCTTATGGGCCTTACAGCCACTTTCTCATACTGACACTCATAAAACGTTCAAGTTCTCATATTTATTATTTAATTTGCTTCCTATATAAAGCAGCAGAGCTCTTTGGTACATGAATATGAAGCCAAAAATGACAGGCAGGCATGAATGGGACTAATGAGTTTTAATAATGCACATATTAGAAACTGCTAAAGGAAGTTTAATTAAGAAAAACAAGTTAAGCATGAAATTCATTTTGGAACAAATGCAAGTAAAGTCACAGATGTACAGAATGCTAGATCACAGGAAACAGCCTCTTCAAGTTGATAGATCCCTATAATG